GGAGGTAAGCAATGTATTCCCTATCCACCCATAGAAATAGGCTCAGGAGAGACCCAATGTACACCTTGACAATCATCCACAAGTGCATTCATTCATTCATTCATTCATTGAATAAAGATGTACTGAGCACCAACTATATGTTAGGCTTTGTGACACTGGGGATACAGAGTTGAAAAGCAAGTCTCTCCCCTCAAGGAGCTCACAGTCTAGAGGGGAGATAGACATGTCAACAGTAACAACAGAGTATGTCACTGCTATGTGGGAGCCAGAACATGCCGGGAGCACTGGGACTACGCGGAGAATCAGAACAGGCAGGACAAGGAAAGGGTTATCTTGATGTTTCCTAAAGGATGGGTAGAAGTTTACCTGGGTGACAGATAGATGGAGGGCATTCCAGAAAGAGACCACAAAATTTTAGTTATAGTGAAATAGTAAACTATCATTACCAAATATTATGCAAAAGACAATTACTCCATCATTTCCTCAGAGATGTTCATCATCTTATTCTTTTGGCTTTTGGTTTCATATGATTTTAAAGTATCATCATGAACATTTACTGACACCACAGAGTGGAAGCGGCCCTCTCCATCACCCCATGTGTTACTCTAACCAGGTCGCTTGATCGCGGTCACTGGGCTCCATCACTTCCTTCAGCTGATAGGGACGCATCAGTGCCTCAGACTCTGCCTGCCTCATAAACACCGTCTTTGCTTTCCTCTCCATCCTGTCTTGGTCCAGTGCGACAGCTCTGATGTCATCTCATTCTCCTCTAGGCCTCATGCCTAGAAAGAAAGAAAAGCAGAAGAAGATGGTTTCACTTTTGGGTCCTTCATAACTACCCAGCTTGTCTAACACCAGATTTGAGCTCTCTGATTAGCACTTTCTTATCCCCTCGGGTCAGCCACCATGATCAAATTTGGAAGCCCTTCCTGCTTCCTGTTCCCTCAATGTTTTATCTCACTCTGCACATGACAGCTGGGAGGGCTCAGGTTCTTGTAAACCTGGCCCTCAAATTTTGTGGGGGAGGTAAAAGACCTTCAATAATTTTTCATGGTCACAACCACTAAGGGTACATGAGTAATAGCAGATGACTACAGGTATAGCATAGAGGTTACAAATCACACCCAATTGCTAGCAAGACAGCTAGGATTCTACCCCATTCTCTCCCACTCAAGAAAGCACATTTAAAAGGATGTAAATTAGGGTACTTTTATATAGATAATCTTGACTCTACCATAATTAATTTATAGTTAGCTTACTCAAAAACACCAGTATTTTAAATACTAATAATGTTATCTATTATTAGAGCTATTTCTCCAATGGTTATTCAATGCCGGTCTGTCTGACCATAGCTGGATGTCCTAGCATCCTAGCTGCACTGGGAGAGAGAAGTTGGTTTGTCCAGCCTTGTTTGCTACATTCTGGTGTCCTGATCCAAATGCTTTATCTGCGTGGGGTATTGAACAGTGAGCAGCTGGGGCTTTATGCTTTGGTCATGCAGATGGTGGGTGGCCTCTGGCCTGAAAGAGAGAGAATGAAAGGCAGAGGAAGAGACTGAGAGAGAGCAGAGCTAAAGCCTAAAACTCTTAACCATTTCCTCCTTTCATTTGAAAGAAGAAGAGTGGGAAGAAGGAGGTGGTGATTACAGAGGGGGAGGCAAAGGGTTTACAATATTGAGCATTTTAATCCTCAAAACCACTCTATGAAATAGGTGCTGTTATTATCCCATTTGACAGGCTTGTGAGAGGTTAGTAACCTGAGTAAGAGCACAGAGCTAGTCAGTGGGACTGCCTTGATTCCAACCTTTCTGGCTCCAAATACCATTCCTGTAAAAGCCTGCCTCCTGGACGACATTTTTCCTTGTTGCAGTCTGCCCCTAGACTCCTGTGCACCATGTTGTTTTATCCCTAAATGGCTCCCTATCTCTGGCAGGAACCCTAAGAGAGGGAGTCAGTTCAGTCCCCATTATCCATTCACATTCTGATGCTCTCATAACTTCACTCAAACCCATAGGTTTATATCCTCCCTTTACAGCTTTTCACTGTCCAGCAAGCCCCAGAGGGGGTGAGGCTCCTTTCAATAAGTAACTAGAAACCCAGACAGGACTCTATTTGTATCCAACCTACTAGATTAATTTGTTTTATAAAAGTAATCAGTATATATGACTATTTTTGGCTGAAATTTTAGTCTATTGTTCTTTATGACAGTTGTTATACTCCTTTACATAAGTCAAGAATAGCCTCTAAATGTTCATTTTTGCTTCCTTGAATTAGAGATAGTTCAACTGCTAAAGTCTTCACAAATTTCTGCTTCAAATAGTTTTGATAAAGAAAATAATCAACAAAACTTTTGAGTTTTTTCATATTGCTAAACAAATAAAATTTTAATCAAAATAAGTCTTCATAAATATATAGTGTGATTTTTCTAAAATGTGAAATATCCATCTCTCTCTGAGCTGTCAAATATATATTTTTATCCTATTTGTGTCGCAGTAGAGGTAAAACGCATGGACTCTGGAGCCAGAATATAAGGATCTGAAATTCAACTCTGCCTACTTTTTAATAGAAAGGAAAATTATTTGAATTCTCTGAACTTCAACTAAATAAGCTAATATTTAGAACAGTGTATGGTATGCACCCAATAAGGCTTAGCTGTTATTAACCCAGAGGGAGTAATTGCTACAAGCAATCTCTCTGATTTAATAGGGAATTCTTGTAAAGCAAGAGTACCTAATCAACAAATTGCCTCCAAATGCAATAAAATTTTAATCTAAATTTAACAATTAATGAAAATCATATAATAGTACATTTTGGAGATATTTAATTAAACATTTATTGTTTCAATCTTGCAGCTTTCTTTTAGTATTCAGAGCCCTTTTTTTTTTTCTTTTGTGTCGCAAATAATTTTATTGGCCACTGAAAACTCTATATGCCCTAAGCCGTGGGTCTATAGTGCTTCATGGATAGAATGGCCTTGGCCAAGGTAAGTGGGAAGCTCCGAATGCTACCTTTCCTGGCTCCAAATACCATTCCTGTGATAGCCTGCCTCCTGGAGGACATTTTTCCTCAGCAAGAATTTGGAAAGGTTTCTAGAAGTTGTGGAAATGTTACTAAACAGAGATAAGACAGTAAAGCAAAATCCCAGATATCATTGATGAGCTAAAATTCTTAAATTACTTTTGGCCAAGTTCAGTTCATACCAAAACCTAGGCCAAAGCTGGCCTGCAGTTAGGCATAAATAGGAGAAAGAGTGATTTAGTAGTGGGTTGGAAGTGGCACTGATCCCAGAAGGAATGTCCTCTTTAATAGAGCAGGACTGCACCTGGAGAGGCATGGTTATCATGTCATTTTAATTCCAAAATGTTCAGTTTATGTGACCAAAGAATAAAATTATGTTCTTACCTCAATATATAAAATGGACAAAATATTATTTAATATTTCAAATGGTTTGGATTTTAAGTACTGTTACTTAGAAAAACCTGTAAGAAGAAACATGGTGAATGTGTGAAGTTATTTTAAAACTCTAAGGCAATGGTTCTCAAAAGTGTGGTATACAGTGGACCCAGGGGGCAAAAATACTTCAAAATAATGTGAGGGCACTGTTTACCTTTTTCACTGTGTTGACATTCACATTTTGCAAATTGCATTGCAAAAGCAATGGCAGGTAAAACTGTTGGGACCTCAGCACCATCCAAGGCAGTCGCACTAAACTGTACCCGTAGGGATTGTGTTTTTCACCCACTCTATCAAAGAAAAGAAAAAAGAATACAAGAAAAAGCCATTTTAGCTCTAGAATGTCCTCAATGAAGCAGTAAAAATTTCTAATTTTATTAAATCTCAATCCTCCAGTATGTCTTTTTAATATTTTGTGTGATATCATAGGAAGTACACATAAAGCATTCTGCTGTTACCAAACTATAATTGTTGTCTCCAGGAAAAGTACTTATTTGAGTTACAAACTGAACTGGCCACTTTTTTCATGGACCATCATTTTTACTTGAAAGAAAAATTGGCAGCAAACTATAGTATTCATATTTGGGTATTTGGCAAGCAATTTTTGCGAAAAAACAAATGGGTATAGGGAGCCTGTCACTTCAAGGAAAACAACCAACAAGCTTAATAGATTTCAAACTTTTCAAGATTAGAATTTTGAAAAATCTGTATCTAGCAACATGAGCTTGGCCTCTTCTCAATACTCAAAGACTTTTCTGGTGAGATTGGTGATGATATTAATGAATATGATATTTTGACATATAAAGTATAACGAGTTAACATTTGAATATTTGCATAATTCAATGAATCATTATTTTTCAAATGGCCAATGCATGATATTCTACATCCATTCAAAATGGAAGATAGACCAGTGAACTTTAATGTAACAGAGTCTACGATGACACTTTGCAACTAACTTCTAAACAATCATCATATGTCAAATTTTGGTGGAGCAGCAAAGAATAAAATTCTCAATTATCTAAAAAGGCTATTAAAATACTCTCCCCTTTCCATTTACATATCTCTACGAGGCCATATTTTCATATACTTCAACCAAAACAACATATCACAACAGACATAATGCCGAAGTAGATATGAGAATCCAGGTGTCTTCTATTAGTGTAGGTATTTAAAACATTTGCAAATATGTAAACAATGCCGCTCTTTTCGCTGCTTTTTTCTTTTGGAAAATATAATTATTTTTCATGAAATATAACATTTATGTTAATATGTAATGGGTTTATTATTTTTTATTTTAATAAATTAATATCTTAATACCTTCTTAGTTTTAATTTCTAATATGGAATATCAATTGATATAACCCACATAGAGAAAAGCTCTGTGGTCCTCAATAACTTTGACAAGTGAAAAAGAGTCCTGTGACCAAATATTTTGAGAATTACTGCCCTAAGGTTAAATGTATTCTAAGCCAGCAGCCATTGTGACATCAGCATCAAGTCAATGATAACCATATGAAGGATTCCATGCAGTTGACCATTATTTCACAGAGCTCTCCAGTTGGACCTCGCTATAGGAAGCTGACCAACTCAGAGTGCCTACTCTTGCCTTTGATGTTCTCCATAAGGCCTCCTATGATTTTACCAGAAAAGACATTCAACAAATAGTAAGAGAAAGACCATTTCATTCTGACTTTGCTTCTTTCTTTGATTCTGGTCAGGTTTCCCAACACCTTGCCTCTTGTTTCATTATGAAAGATGTACAGACTTCAAACCAAAAGGGTAAAAGCTGCTGTAGGGCAGATGTGGACTTCAAATCTCTCCAAAATCAGACAATCTCTTAAAAATGTTTATCATAAGTGTAAGAACCAGCACACAGATTCAACTAGACATCCAACGATGACTTCCTATGATTGTGATCAAGATGATGTTAATACTGATGAAGAAATGAATCTTAAAGTAATGCTCCAAGATATTAAAACCGCCCAAATTGAACTCCTTAGCCAAATGACTGACATTGTCAGTGCAGTATCAAAAATCCGAGAAAAGACGGACTTTCATCAGAAGCAGATGGAGGTCCTGGAAACCAGAATGGATGTTAATGAAGACAAACAACACACAGTAACTAAAGATGTCTTCTCCATGAAAGAAAACATTGATGCTTTAAAGAAGAAGGTGACAGAACCAGAAAACCAGAATTCTTCCTCCAGCATCCACTGCTTAGAGACACTGGAAGGAGAAAAGGGTAAAGAGTTCATAGAACTTCTTCACAAACTCATACAACCAGAAACTTTGAAGAACACATCAGCCTCTACAGACTCTGAAATCTCTTCAGCAGAACCAGAGAAAGTATCCAGTTATCACAAGCCCACTGATCATCTTGAGGAAAAAACAATTTCTCCCAAAATTAAACCTCTGAAGAAAAGTAACCACCAAAATTCATTAAGAAGCTTTAAAAAAGCAAAGTCAAATATTTATATTTACCCAGACTTTAGCACATGGATCAAGCTAACTTTTGTTTATGGAGGAAAGTGGAGATTTTTCCTCAGTGCTACCAAGTTAGAGGAATTCATCCAGTGGCTTCTTTCTAGGCCAACCATCCCTCTTGAGGAACCACAACTCACAAGCCAGAGATATTGTCCATTCTCTGGGCCTATTGCGAGCTTGACCAGAATCTGTCTCTCTGTTTTCAACTATATTTACTGTCTTTTTGGTTCCTCAAAAGAGGAAGTAACTCGACTGTAGAGTTATTTTCTGCTTTGCTTGGCATAAAATAAATGTAACCTGGTCACTTCAAGCATTCACACATCTTTGTGGTTGCTATGAACTCCTTGGTAGTTTGCTCACTGGGCCCACTGTCTGAGAAGTTTCTATACATCTACAGTAACTTAAGGCATATCACCCCATTGGACCATTGTGATGGATTTTCTGTCCATCACAGACAATGTTCTTATCTTCTCAAAGGCAATTCACGAGGACTCCTCCAATTCTGTTTTCATAGATAATTGGAAGGAAAGAATGAAGGAGTCAAGGGAATGAGAAACATATTTGGTGGGCCCTACGTCAGTTTTCTACACACTCTTGTCTTAGTGGCCTTTGTAGATAAGATTTGTGACACCAGAAACAGACTCTACTAACTAAATTTTAAACAGCATAGAGTGAAAAAGATACTCACTGTCAAGGCTGCTGAAGTTAGAGCTATAAAAATGAAGGGCATCAAAAAGACAAGTTATTGCAAGGAAAATCTTAATTCCAAAAATGGGATTTTTCTTTCAACATCAGCTTCATCTCTATCAAACAATAGAAAAGGAAGAAAAGGCTGAATATGGTACTGAGTATTTTTTACATTTTCATGAAATGAGACAAATACCAAGACTTGTACATTTGAAAAGGGAAAATCTGAGGAGGGATTTCTGAACCAAGTTAAATCACAATACTATGCTATCATAGATTCTTATATGGCAAGGTTTTTTTTATGAGTCACATACTACAGATCCAGGGTGGGTTTCCTTTTTAGGTGGTTGCCATCATAATGTAATTTTTCCAAAGATCATCTAGAATAACTTCAAAAAAATGTTTCCTTCACCAGTTGACTCTGTAAATGAAATCAATCAATAGAGAGTCATATGCTGTTTAACTACAAATATTCTTGGTAAATGTGCTACTTCATTCTCAGTCACTAATTTGGAAGGATGGCTTTGGCAGTTAGCTAAGAACAACCTGGTTTCAAATGAGGAGAAAGGAGCTAAGGTGAGTATAGGGGAAACTATGGGAGACGTACGATGAGAAGACACTACATAGTCTCGTGCAAGTCTGGTAATAATTATACAACTTTTTTCATCTACAAATGCATTTTATTTGCTCTTTCTTTACAAATATACAGCTAAGCCATGTACACAAATAACTTTTAAAACCCGTCACTCTGACATAGGTGCAGCATGGGTGATAATGTCATACAACTACTTAAAGCAAGGCTCTACATGGAATGGGTTTGTTTTAAGTGAGGTAACTGTGCTAACGGAGGTAAAGTACGGTTCTGGTAAAGGCACAGAAATCTCTCTGTATTTATTCCCTATCAGAGATATCCTAAAGAACAGCCAGAGCTGGGTGTGACCCTCACATCAGAGAGTAACTAGGGAAGGCAGGCTGTGACAAAGGCAAATGACATCACAAGTGGCTTCTGGGAGAGGAGAAGGGGACTCAGCTGGCATTGGCCTGGGTCATCTGAGCCCCTATAGTCATGCACACCTTCACTTTTTCTCCCTTTACATGCCCCTCAGCAGTTGCTTAATGCTTCTAGAGAGGCAAAGAGCACAGGGCTGGAATCAGAAGACCTTAGTTCTGAAGAGTCTTAAATTCTACACTTACAAGCTCTGTTATTTCATCTTGACTAGCTTGGTTTTGTCATCTGTAAAAAGGGAATCGTTATATTCATTTAGTAAAATTTCTTCAGTGTTTGCAAATAGCAAAGGATCACGGAGAATAAAAGAAAAAGTAGAAGACATTCCCTGTACTGTAGACACAGAACATTGCATGGGACAAATAAAATGTATACACACATAACTCTAATGCACACTAGCCAGGGCTGGGCAGCAAAGAGCAATATAAGAAGTGCTCCTGGTATCCGAGAAGAAAGGGGGTTGCTGAGCCTTGCATTGAGGAGGTAAGGAGAGGAGGAGGTGATGAGGGCAGTGTCCCAGGCAGAAGGAGGAACAAACAAGCACCCAGGAGTGGACCGGTAGAGAACATGGGAAATACAGGCCACCAAGCCTGCTTTCAGTGTAAAGGACTGCAGGCTATTATTCCAACCCTTGTATGGATCTCATTTTTCCCTTCAGGGATCCCCACCATGTTCACTTTAACCTGTTTTTCACCTACGTAAGAAAGTTAGAGGAGGAGAAGGTGAGAGGGACACTACATGATTTTCTCAGGGTCTCAAGATTTCCCCAAAGATGACTGTTGGTCCTGTTAATTCACATAAGTTCCCTGTGAGGAAAGCAGATTTTGCTTTTGAGTCAATTATTTATTATCATCACCTAGACGACATCTCACATGACTCGTTAAAATTATAACTCAACTTGGAACTACATGTGAGCAAATTATATTTCCCTAGTCCTGCTTTCAGATTCCCCTGCCTCTCACCCACGCCCCTCCATCCCACCTGGCTCAGCGGAAGGGATGTCTCTCTTGTCCACATCCCTCCTCCAGTGGCTTTGCAGGGTCTTCATCAGTTAGTCCTCTTCTTGCCTCCACTCAATCACCACCTATCTACCAGGTCTTTGTACTCAGCTTACAAAAATCCGTTTTTGCCTTGCCCCTGTGTTCCCCTCCTCTCTTGCCAATCTCTTGTCATCCTCTTAGAATGAGAGGCCCATTCTCCTCTCCGGACTTGTCATTCTCTCCATGGCTGCTCATAGGACTATGTCTTCCATGCTTTCTCTTCTGGTCCTCTTCCCATCACTCTGGCAGATCCTTCTCAGTTTCTTAGATGATTCCTCTGCCTCTATCATTCCCTTAAAATACTGATGCTTCACTTTAGTGACTTCCAAATCAAAAGACTCCTAACCCAGCCTCTCCTGGGACCTCCTCACCTTCCATTCCAAGTGACTACTTATCTGCTCCACTTGGATGTCTACAGCAGTCTCAAATGCCTTAGTCCTAAAATTAACTTTAATAACTCTTCCTTCTGATTCAAACACATTTCTATTCCAATATCCCTTTTGTTAAAGGCATCATAATGCAAGTTATCCATATCCCCAAACTGAGAATTTTCTCCCTCACTTGATGTATTAATCATTAACTCTTTCCCTGTTTGTCTTCCAATAATTCATGGAATCTATCCTCTATCTCTGTCCCCACTTCTACTGTTTTGGTTCAAGCCTTAATCATATCTCTTTATAAATGAAAAGTTTTCCTGCTTGGTATCCCAGCCTCCAGGATATCCATAATCCAATTCTAATAGGGTGATTTTTTTAAACAATTCTAAAATCTTTTCATTGCTCCTCATATCAAGGAGAATAAAATACAAATTTCCTAGCAGAGCCTACACGACCCTTTCCATCCTGAATTTTTACCTTTGGAAAGTAGTGTTCCATAGTGGAAAAGCACAATGGCTTTGGTGTCAGACTGACCTGATTCAAGAGCTGGCTCTGTCATTCACTAGCTGTGTGACTTTGGAATTAAGCCAAAGCTTAAGTTCCCAAAGCCTTAGTGTTCTTATTCCTAAAATAAGAATAATAATCACAGGTTGTTGTGAAGCTCTTAGCAATCTAATTGATGCCCAGGAAGTGTGAAATGAATGGTATTTATTAATATTACTTCTTCATCCTCATCCTCCCATGATAACTTTACACACAAACCACCATCCAGCCAGCTAAATGTCTTGCAGATTTTTTCAAATCTTATATCTTTGTATTTGCTGTTCCTACAGCCATGGATGCCCTTCTTTTTTCTGGCTGATAGGTATTAATTTGTTATTGGAGTCTCAATTCAAATATTTTTTTCTCTAATGCATCTTCAAATATAAAATTATAATAATATTGTGTATATATATATATAGAGAGAGAGAGAGAGAGAATAGCATTCTTTCCCACCACATTGTCATTTTGTGTTCACGTCTGTCTCCCTCACAAAACTTTGAGCTTTTTATGATAGAGATAGAAACTTACCTGTTAGTCTTGAATATCAAAATCAGTTTTACTGGTAGGTTCTCAGTAACTGTTTCTGAATGCAAAAAACAAAAGAAAGCACCATTCTTCTCTACCACATAAGTGGGTATAAGTATAATTAGATGAATGTTCATGACGTGTGTGTCAAACATGAAAATCATCATGCATTCATCAAAAGGCTTCAGACCATTGTTGGTGCTGTTAAATTAAACACATTTATTGAAGAGTCAGCACTCGATAGTGAAAAGAGCAAGGACATTCAAAGCAGAACAGACTTTAGAGCCGCTATTTGCTGACCTTTATTACGTATCAGGCACTGTGCTAGGGGCTGGGTATACAATGGTGAACCTCATAACTGTGTTTTGGTAAATTCTTTAAGCTTTGTATTCTTCAGTTTTCTCACCTCTAAATTGAGAACAATTTATGTCATAAGACTGTTGTGTTAATTAAATGAGACCACGTGTAGAACCTGCCCAGAACAGTGCCTAACCTAGCAGATACTCAACAAACGGTAGACATTTTCTTCCTTCTGTAGGCTGTATGTTAAAGGGGGCACAAAGATGAACAGGACATGGACCCTGCCTCAAGAAGCTCACCTTCAGAACTCTGCCTCCTGTTATCAGCCATAAAGGACTCCAGACAAATCATGAACCAAGAGACAGGCTAAACACAAAAGTGACGAAGCAACCCTTGACTTCTTCATCCAAAGACAGTGTGATAAAAACAAGACAGGGTGTAAAGCTCTCCTCCTGGTCTGGGCATTCAACCAATATTCCATGATCCGTAACAGCCTTTCGCCAACCTTTAACTGCACACTATAAAAATAAGCATCAGAGAGAAGTAGGAAGGGGAGTAGAAGGGGAGAGACTCAGCTTAAGATAAATAATTTAGTTCAGTTTGGAATACTTGCTTCATAGACATAGACGCTAGAGTGTTCTGTTCATTCAAAAACAACATTCACCAGCATTTATTGAAATCTGACTCTATGCCAGGAACTAGTTGACGTGAGAAATAGAGATGGAAAAGACACTGGTCCTGTGCTGAAGGAACATGCTTTCCAGTGGTGTTCTCTCCAGCTGCCAATTATTTTGACCTGTTGCTTAGATTTGGAGTAGAAAACTATACACTTCAT